GTGCTCCGGTTGACAACTGTTAATGGTGGTTCAAGAAATAGAGGAAGGTGAGGGAGAAGAAGCAATAAGAATGGAGAAGATTTTGATAAAAGCTTACTTTTAGCCCCTCACCTTGTCAAGTTTAAAGGTTTTCGCCCCTCACTTTATACTATAACATTTCAGCTTACTAGATTTGTAGATTTTAACTCTTCACTATGACATTTTTAACCATTTACTTATTAAAATTGAAGAAAATAACCCTCACTTTGTAATATTTTGTTAGTTTTGTTAGCTGACTGTTAACTCTATTAACTGACTATTAGTTGGCTATTAACTGTAAAAAACTTTTTTTCAATTAACAAAGTTAATAAAACTAACTTTATAATATTTCGTTAATTCTATTAATTAGTTATTAGTTGACTGTTAATTGATAAAAATTTATTTTCAACTAACAAAGTTAACCGTCAGTATAAAGTAAGGGTTATTTTTTTTTATTTTAATAGTTGAGAGGCTAAAACTTATAAATTCAGTAAGATGAAGAGTTAAAAGTATTATAATATAAAGTGAGGAGTTAAAAGTATCATAATATAAGGTAAATAATTAAAACTTTCAAACTTGATAAGGTGAGGAGCTAAAAGTAATTTTTTGTCGATGATTTTGGCATCCTGTCATGTGGAATTTTGATATTGTCGAGTCTATAAGACAAGAAAAAAGAAGGGTAAAAAATGAAAATCAAATCTTATTCTACCTAATCCCATTGGAGAGGTGGGATACATTTGATCAAAGGAGGTTAGATTTGGATAAAGAAGGATGACAATTATTTTGTCCTCAAACCCAACCAAACATGAGAAACAGTGAGAGTGCATAAAGATGTAGCCCCATCCCACCATTAGTCCGCCACTCCAAACGGGCTATTAAGTTATACAAAGGAAAAAAATTCGCTTTTATCCTTTAATTTATTCTAACTGCATGTCACTGAAAGAAAATTTCCACTTAAGTAATTACAATCGTTAGCTTCTCTTAACTATTATGTTTGATTTTTTTTTTTTTTTCTTTTAAAAGGTTTCAATTGGTTCTTGGTTGATTTTTTTTTTCTTTTTTTTTTTTTCCACTTTTTTTTTTTGGAAAAAAATTAAGTGGTTTTCCATAACAAGACTACGGCTTTAATAAACTCTTATTTAAAAAATTAAAATAACAGATGTTTAAAGCTACAATGAGATTATTTTAACACTTTCTCATGAAGTTTTATTAACACAGGTAGATCTAAAATATTTTTTCACTTAATTTTTTTAAAGGCCAAGTTGATAAACAAACACTACTATGATACTATCATATGTATTTGAAGCAGATAGGGACGATCTCATCCCCGGCCATATCCAAGAATTAGAGAGGTTAAATATCAGAATTCATGTCTTTAACTTGTAAAAAATTAGGAGAGATCTTGACTGTAGTTTACAAATAACACAATCTTGGAGGTGGAAATCAAGCCATAAAAGTCCCAAATTCCATAAACAACTCTTCCCCTCTTCCTAACCAGATGTGTGGGGAGAGGCCAGGGAGCTAATGGAAGTGACCGAGAACCTGTCCCCCCACATTTCGCTTGATGGCCTCTTCATGATCCAAAATACCATCTGGGGTTGTAATCACGACATAACCCCACTGCAATCGAAGAAAGTAATATATGGCATTAGGTGGGCATATCAATTATAAAATCATCTCTGTTTTTCAGGTAAAAAGTGTCATCATCTCATGGAATGTAATATCCCACACCATACCTGGTAAATTGCATACCTCTTCCTCAGTTCAAACTGGCACATTGTATATTTAAATTGGAAAATGAAAATTACCAAGATGAAAAGAGGATTCTAACAAACCTGCCGCGTTGGTAGTGTGCGTAATCTGTAGGCTTCAATATCTTTTGCTTTGATGTCTTGCCTGTAAGTGAGAGCTTTGCAATCATTTACCCTGCCTTGTAGTTGAACTGTTATTCTTCCCACTCTATGTGGATCATAAACCTGAAAGTCCCTGATGTATCCTAAAAAGAAACTACCCAAAATCAATGACAGTGCAAAAAGAAATACATTAAACAAAAGCATAAACCTATAAGTACAGAAAACACCACAAAAATTGAAGACTCTTCACACATGAGATAGAATAATGATGGGCCACACAATATTACATGGCAACAAGTTAGCAGTTTAAAGATTGAAAGAACAAGAAATTAAGTTTGATTTTCAAGAGAATGTGAAACTTCCTAAACTGCTGTTCAGATTGGAAAACTATGAAAAACATCAAAAGAAAAGAAAGGGAAAGATGTTACATCTAAATTCTTGATGGGATGGGAAAGAAGCACTTCTTGCACCTGGAATTCATACCCAGTTACACAAATCTAGATGAAACAGAAACCATTCTTGAAAAATTAAGATATCTAAGAGACATATGGCTATCAACATTCATAATAGTAAGCAAGTCCTCATTCTTGTCTACCATGAAGAACTTTGAAACAAGAAAGAATATGTTCCCCTGTAAAAACATTTTTCAGAGAGCTTACTGTCAAGCACCCACAACCCATAACGAGCACCTTTCTGGAAACCTTCATCTAGATTATTCTTACTTTTCCACTCAAACACATTGTCTTATTTCCTATATAAGCAATTTCATTTTTTCCCATTTTCCCCACTACAGCAGTGAAACAGACATTGATTAGCATTCTCATTAGACATCCAATTCTTCCGATGCATCCATGACAATTACCACTTGAGCCCAATTCTCACAGGCAATTTGACAAACACCTGCTGTGCAGTTTCTTCCTTCAACAAGAATTCAGCATTTCCACTAATAACATAGTTTAAAAGGAATTCCCATAATAAAACCTAACTAATCTTCACGAATCTCAACATAACTTCTTTCATTACATTTGATTCGATAATGAGATCAAAGCCGACCAGAACCCCAAACTTATTACCTTGAAATACAAAAGAACATTCAAGCACAAACCTTCCATACATTTCAAACGTGTAAAAATCAGATATCTCTCTCAAACTAAATGAGAAAAAACCCATTAACAAAGATCCAAAAAACAAAACCCCAAAATAAGAACGAACGATTTAGCTTTTAGCTTACCATGATCTTTCATGATCTTGAGGAAAGAAGACATCACGGTGGAGATGGGTTTCAAATCCACTGTAGCTTTCCCTCTCCTCTCCGCATTCACAATTGACCTCAATGCATCGTTCAATATTCTCCGCCCCATCTCTCCTCTTTCTCCCCTCCCGGCTCCCACAGAACTAAAACCCCAACTCCGCCGAAAAACCGCAGACGTATCTTTTCCCTTGCCTCTCTGAAATTTCCCTGATTTAGCAAGGGTGTTTCCGTAATCTGAAACCGGCAAATGAGGGGTAGTTTTGGAAGTCCATATCTGAAACCTACCGGTTAGTACATACTTCTGTAACCTGATGCAAGTGTTTTGGGGCCGTTTGGCAAAACTTATTCTCTCAGTTGATTATAAGCATTTTGATAATTTTTTATCTCATAAGAGAATTTATTATTGGCTGTTATTTAAAAATTTATTTTATAATTTGGACTATTTTAAACTAAAAATATAAATTTTAAGATGAAAAGTGGATTCCTTGATGTTAAGAGTTTTTCTAATATCTATTTTAGTAGTTCATAATAATTTATATAAAAAAAATAGGAGACTCTATTTTTTAACTTACTTATACCTATTTTTTTTCCTCTTATAAGTGCTCCCTCTGTTTACAAAATTTGTAGCAAATTATTTGACATTCTCAAAAGGAAAATTTGTTTTGTAGTCAATTTAGATGGTAAAATGTTAACCTTTAAAAATTTAATTATAAGATAATAGATTCTTTTTAAGAAATTCAATACATAATTAATTTCTCTTTTTTAACTTTGCCTCACTAATAATTAAATGTAGAGAGATTATTTAAAATACTAAGTACATTGTAGAGTTCAAAAAAGATAATTTGAGGAGTTCAATATTTTATATTGCTTTAATTAAAGCTATTAATTTATATCCCTTTTTGTTCTTTATTAATTTACATTCTTAATTTGTGAGTAGATTCTTTAAAAATCTTATATTTTAAAAAAAAATCTTAATTATTAGCACTTTAAATGCTAAAAATATTTTCCTTCTTTACAATTTTAAATTTGCAAAAGAAAATTACTTATAAGCAAGTTAAAAAATTAAACTCAGCCAAACAGAACCTTGAATATATCTATATACTACGAGAAAATAAGGGGTAGTACTGGAAATCTAAGAATGAATATTCTGAATATTACGTCAACCATAAAAACAGCATTTTCAGTCGTTTAGTTTCCCCTCTTTTTCTCTTTTCTTTTCTGTGTGAAATTCAATGGACGATTTACCGCCACACCTGGTCGTCGAAATCTTGAGTCGAATCGGCGACTCCACCGATCTGGCGGCGTGCCGACTGGTCTCCAAAACCCTAAACTCCCTCTCTCGCGAAGTCCGTTCGGTAAATCTTACCTGCACCCTGTCTCGCTACCTCAAATCGCGCTCGCCAGAGACCTGCAACCTTTTGACGCCCTTCAAGACTATCTTCAACGGGCTGATCCTCCGTTCCCGGGGCCTCGATTCCGTCACCGTCGGCGTCGATAAGTCTTTCATTGAAATTCCCTTCGACGACGACGAGTATGACGAGTCCGATGATTTGTATTTGACCGATGTGGCGTTCGTGAAGGAATGGTTGCCCAAGGTATGTGGAGAGTTGAGGTCATTGTCGATTTCGGATTTCTGGATTCAATCTTGCTGGAGGAGCTCTAAGGTTCTGGTTTTGATTTCTTCATGCTGTGAGTTCTTGGTACTTTGTCTCTTTTATGCTATTGTGAATATGAAAGTGCTAATTGGAATTGAAAGATTTGAAATTGAGCTTGATATTATATGCATATACAATAATTTGCCTAGCAATTGGGTTATAATTTAGTTTGGGCTATGATTGCGCTTAAAGATTAAGAGAATCAACCAAGAATGTTCAAAAGATTCATGTTTGCAATATTCTTTGTCAAATTCTGTAGGATTAATGGGCTCTTGGAAAATTAAAAGAGAAATGAATTGTGTTCGAAATTATTAAGAACATGGGCTAGAATTAGGATTTATTCTGATTCTCCATTATATTTTCTTTGGGAGCATTTGTATTCTTTATGAATTGTGCATGTTATGTCATACAAAATGGTGATGGCGTGTGTTTGACTTAAGCAGGCAGTAATCTTCGAGAACTAAAGCTGAAGAATACTTGGCTTTCAGTGGATGGGCTGAATCCGATGCCGACACTCACAAATTTGACACTTGAGCACGTTAGACTTGATGATAAGGACCTAGGCATGGTTAATAATTGCTTTCCTTCTCTTCAAGTTCTGAATTTGGTAGGGGTTGGAGGTCTTGAAACGCCAACGATTCGTCTTTTGCATCTTAAGAGCTGTCTATGGAACGTGTCAAATGCTCCGTATTTGTTGGCTATAATTGCTCCAAATCTTGTGACCCTCAAGCTGACATGTATTAGACCAAGATCCCTAATCCTCCATACTCCATTGCTGTCTGATTTCTATCTTTCACTCGAAAAGGCAGAAGAGATCCAAGCAACAGACCTCTGTAATTTGAAAACCCTTGAGCTTGAATCTTTAAGCCTGGATAGTGTTCTTGGCATGTTCCCATCTGGTAAAACAGTTAAAAAGCTGACACTGGAATCATTGAAAAAGACTGATTCTGTTGAAACAAAATTTGGATTGGAAGTATTGTTTGATTTGTTTCCAAATCTGTGCTCTCTTAACTTAGGCCCTGGCGCTTGGACTGAAGCAGAGATCTGGTTTCGCGAGAGGGGTTTGAAAGGTGCATCTGAGATGGAGAGTCTAGAAAAAATTATTGGACGTTTGGTGGTAAATAACTTGGATGTTACCATATCCTTTATTCACTCTCTATTGGATAAATGCACAAAGGTGTCAGACATGACGTTACTTCTGCAAGAGGATTCTTGGGCTGCCTCCAGTCTCATTTCTAGATGTGCAATTGATCATCCAAGAATAAGATGGAGATGGGGGACGTGGAAAGAGGGATCAAAAGATACCTGGATCTCAAATGGTGTTTGATTTGGCAACCCAACAGTGTTAAGAAGGAAAGTATATAGTGTAATCTTGTGGAGTTATTTGTCTACTGGTAGTGTGATAAGAGATCATAAAGATGTTTCAGGATCTGAAGATGATGAAATATAGTTTTGCTGCATTGAGATTCACAGAGCAGCTGTAACACATAGACACCAGTACTTCATAATCTGTGTGAACAAAACAGTTGCCTGGAGAAAGAAAATGTGTATGGATAATTGTAAAAGGATTCAGTGATCAAGTCCATCAGTGGTTTCTTATGGTGCATCTTTTTCCCGAATCCTGATGTGAAGTTGTGAGTGACTGAACCATGTTGAAGAAGAATAAAAGTTGTAAATACTAGCTTTTCCTGTCACTCTAGCTTGTAGAAAAGATACTAAAATAGGAAAACCAAACATCTGTAGGCAGATTGTTCAAAATTTCTGTGTGAATATGTTCTTTGAGGTTCACTTTTCTACATGAAATATTATCTGCTGCATTACAAATGTTTACTTCATTATCAAATGCACTAGTAGATACTTGAAACTGGTAATAGCAAACCATGCATTCTCCATCTCAGCTTTCTTTTGTTAATTTGAAAGCATTTTAGTACAGTAGCAGTGTAGTTAGGGGAGAGTGTATTTTTTTTATTGGGATAATTATTTTACAGATTTGTCCTCCTAAATTTCTTTGGAAGGCATGTTTAAAAATTTATCTTTTAATTAATATTTTGAAAAATCAACCATTAAATTAAAGTC